TGGCACAACAGTTAAGTGGGCTCTGCTGCTAACCAGAAGATTGGTGGTTCAAACCCACCCAGCGGCTCCACAGGAGAAAGACCTGGCGATCTGCTTCTGAAAAGAGTACAGCCAAGAAAACTTTATGGGGCAGTTCTACTCTGTCACATGGGTCGCTATGAGTCAGAACTGACTCAATGACACACAACAAGAATAACATCAGGCGGGGAAGACCCATCTGCTCTTGTACACTTACGGTCTTACATGAAGCCCCAAAACCTCACAAGGACAGGTATGCGGGATCTGTCAGGCTTCCCAAAGGGAACAAACTTAAGTGGGCAAAGAGTCAGCCTGGAAGCCAAATGGGATCAGTGTGATCTTCCTCGGTCTAATGGTTTTTAATAGCAAGCATTTGGATTAGGTGTAAATAGCTTAAAGCCCAGTGGAGACATTGATTATTTTGAAATTCTACTAATCTGGAGCAGGGCGAGCCCAAGCATTTCTCTGGTACTGTTGTTGAATGAATGAGGCTGAAGAACTTGCTATTCTTGCTGGCCCAGTCTCTGTTATCCTATTTCCCTCCTTCCCGTTGAGAATACTACTAGGGTGTATGATCTGTACTGTGGTGGGGTGCTGAAGAGAAAAATGAAACCAAACAGAAGGCTGTTGGTAAGCAGTCCCTCTGTTTGCTTAAAACTAAAATAAGGATATCAGGATCTGCTCACTGCTACAATGAGGATACAGAGGGCACGCAGGAATGCTGACTTTCCATTGACCTGAAGAACTCAGCAGGATCTTAAGGGTTATCTACTCCAACCACCTCATTTTGCAACAGTGGAAACGGGCTCAGACATACCAAGTGGTGTGCCTAAGATCACGTACTTGGAGGCAAAACAGGGAGCAGAGACCAGTTAGACAGTGACCCTCCCGCCTTCCCACTGTGGCGTTGGGAATGGCTCATGTTCCAAGTCACCTCTGGGGTAAGTAGGTGCTAAGAGTTGGTTCCATATATCTCCCAGCAATGTTCACGCCAAAACCAGCCAGAACGCTCAAGGCTACCCAGCACCAAGTTTACTGTCAGGGAGGCACTTCAGCAGCAAGGAGAATGGCACCCTGGGATGGGGAGCGGTTTAGCACCAGCAGGCCCATCAAAGACCGAGTGAGCTGCAGCAGGACAGTGTGGAAAAGGAAAATGCTACAAGGGGTGTTTGTTTCATGGGGGTTGTGAGAATAAATGATCATTCCTTCTGCAAGCAGGCGGGTGGCTCTAGATCCTAGAAAAAAGGTGGGCCTCACCTCTATGTGCTTGCAAAGAATAAATACCAGTTTTTCTTTTCCATCAAAAGGCCCAACCTTTCTCAGGAAATCTGGTCCCCAACTTCTAATGCTCTTGTTATGTTTGCCACTCCAAATGTAATTGAACTGCTTTAAAAATAAAAAAACCAGTTGCTGTGGAGTGGATTCCAACTCATAGTGAGCCCATGCCACAGTAGAATTGTGCTTGATAGGGTTTTCAATAGCTGGTTTTTCAGAAGTAGTTTGCCAGGCCTTTCTTCCGAGGCACCTCTAGGTGGACTCGCACCTCCAACTTTTTGGTTAGCTAGCCGAGTGCGTTAGCCATTTACACCACCCAGGGACTCCTGAAGTGCCTTAAGGGAGTGTACATACATTTTTCCTATTTAATCTGCATACTCTTCGAGGCTGGGTTCCTGAGTGTGTCAATGTTGCTCCTTATTCCCCAGCGGAGGCATGGCGATTCAAGTGTAGCAATCAGACATAATGGCTCAGAGAAGCCTGCCACAATGCTTTCACAGTAGTATGTTAATGAGTGTTAAAACTGACATCGCAAATACAGTGTTCTCAATTTTTAAAATTACAACTCTGTAACAAGCCATGCTGTTAAAACATACAAGAAATACCAGTTAAACCCTCAAGTAGATAACACGCAGCCTATACAGATCACTGCGATCCCAAAGTGCTTGACAAATACTTTCCTTTGAAATGAGGCAAGAATTAGAAGGTAGTTCAATTATTTGAGTAATCAATCAGATAAGTAGAAATAACAAATCCAAATATTAAACACCAATTACTACCTTAAGAGCTCCAAATCAGCTTGGCATTACAACATGCCCCTTGTCAGTAGCAAACCCAGGAAATGTGGGGGTTTGGCAGAAAACACAAACCTATAACCAATTACTAGTCTGCACAATAAAGACATAGTGTCACTTCCTAACCCAGCACTTTCAAAATGCTCATCACTGTGGGAAAAGCTTGGCCCATATATTTGTCCCAGTGTCATTGAAAATAACAACCTTCACGTGTTGGGAGTAAAGTTACCCTCCAGCCAACAGCTGGGAACAAGTGATCACCAGCTTCTGCTGTGTCCCCCTAAATAAAGGCAGTTTATGGGTCAGTCTGACAGCCTGGGTGGGCAACAATGTCATCTCATGCTTATATTCTTCACTCCAGAAACAGAGCAGAAAATTAACCTGGCCTTCTCCACTTAGCATCAGGGACTAGAGGAAACTGTGCTACATACGGTGTCGTCTAGCAAGGTCAGTGGATGACCCACTGGAGAGCACATGTGAACATCACATCTTGGTGGTGCTTTGGGGGAGAGGAAGATGACTTCTCCCTGGGGCACAGTGCAGTTTCCGTCCTTTGTGGAAATGAACTCCAGTGTTCAAGCCAGCAGGCTGGCTCTCTCTCTCTTTTCTCTCAAACCACCACTTGGAGAACTTGATGCTATTAGGCCATTCTTGTGCTCAGAAGTGACTGAAGTTCCAGGATGGACAAAGTAATATTTTATATAAGTATATACATGTACAAGAGATGTTAAAAAGACAGTCTCTAAAGCACTTTGGGATTCCCCCAATAAAAGGCACCAGATAAATGCAAGTCATTACCAAAATGAAATGTCACATTTTCCAGCTTTCACATCTGCAGAGGGTAACCACTAGGGGTACCTCATTTTTTTGTGGTAAAATCTGTTTATTTAGAAAAATACTCATGAGAGTGACTGAGTTATTCCGCCTCCTTCCTTGCTTCCACTTTGCACAGGCTTCACGGTCACTGACCAGGAACACCACATTCAGTGAACTGATACCATCAGCCCTGGCAAATGCAACAGCCCTCACAAGTTTGTACCATCACCTGCCTTTCATGCAGCCAGGGATGGTTTTGTAAATTTTCTGCCTCCTCATGCTGGAAACATCAGCCAAAGCTGTTCCGTGTGCAAACGCTGAAAAATAATCCTGCTCCTCTAACTCAGTGGCCAGTTACTTCTAAGTCAGCTCACCTCTCCTGATGCTTCTGAAAAAGACATAGACCATCAGGCACCAGGAGGTGGCCGCCTCCCCATCCCTCTTGAGGCCCCAGTCTGATGCAAGCATCTGACCTGGGGACTCAAAGGCAGAGGTGACTAGCGCATTCATTCAACAAATCATCTGTGCAGTAGTAGCCATGGCAATTACACATACACACAGCCCTCTGACAAGATCCTCACCACACCCTTGTAAGGTATGTATTATCTTCAACCAACTAAGACACAAAATGGATTTTGTAAGGGGAGACTTGGATCGAAAGCCTGCCTGAGTCCACACTTAAATCCCTAGATTCTACAGCCTTTCCAAAGACTGAACAATAATGCAAGCCAACTGGAAAACCATCTGATTATCTAGAAGTGGGTGGAGAAGAATTGTCTTACAAAGGGACCTAGGTTTCCCTTCACAATTTTATGTGCTAAGTAACTGGAGAAAAGGGAATGTTGAGGAAGGAAACAGTTCTCTCCCTTCAACACAAGCTTAGAAGTTTGAATGTCTTTTAGACAGCATTAAACTTTTTGAGAAGTTATTAATTATTTATGACATATTATGAAGTCCTAATTTTCTGTCTTACAACTCTCTTTCTTTTCTCCTGATCTCTACCTCTCCCCCGACACACGCACCAACAAAAGGAAGTTGAAATGGAAATCGTAACTGCAGGGCTTTTATCCTGGGTAAGCCACATAGCCTTCATGCACATCTATATTTTGAGTACCCACTTCCACACACTTCCATGTTACCAGGTTTCCACGTCAGAACAGTAACTCCAGGACAATCATAACACCGTAACAAACTCACTGTATTTTAGAAGCAAAATGATCTAAGTAAATTCAGCTTGGAAATAAAGGGGCTCCCATTTTACGAGCTTTTAGAGTAAGCAACAAGAGTTTTTTAAGCTACTGCCCTTGCTAGCAACTCAACACTCTTCACTTCAGGGAGACAATACAACAGTCAACTTCTTTTTAGCTGAGAAAGACAACACAACCTTATTCCTAAACATTTTAAAAAATAAATATTTTAAAAACATGCTATTATCTAAGACCCTATGGATCACAACAGTCAGATCCCCTTGTGCATGGGGTTGCCATGAGTCGGGGGGCGGGGGGCGACTCGACGGCATTCACAAGGACAACAATATCTAAGACACAGCAAAATTTGACCAAATGGCCTAGACTAGGATCCTCAATCAGAAATAAATGTCTCTATGGTCACTCTAGGTAACACAGAGGCCTGACCTTGAAAGAAAGGGGTCAGCCTGTGCTGACTCTGCATTAAACGTCTTGGGATTAGGCCTATGCTTAGCTGAACCCCCTATCCCTAATGCATCTGTTCTTAGGCGGAAAAAAAGTCAACCTTCACTGCATGTTTAACTGCGTGACATTTTCTAAAGAGTGACATTTAAGAGACAAACACCAGCACACATCATTCTAAAGGCGATTGGTGCACCCATGCAAGCCAGAAAGCTACAGATCGTTTATCAAAACAACTCAGACTTGCAGTGGCAATGCGTGCTTAACTTCACATTCTCGTTGTTTGGGTATTAGAACTAAAGGAAAGCAATGGATAAAGAAGTGAGATTTTGTTTTCCCATGACTGTGGGCAAAATCTCATTACATCCTTGCTGACCTCATAGATGTGTTTCCCACTGGGACAGACTTGTGAGGGCTTTTTGTACAGAACTCACATGACAACCTCTGAAACAGGAGCACAAACAACTCACAGACAGCACTGGACCAAGAGCACTAGAACAGTGTACACAATGAACAGAAAAATTCGCATTCTGGGTGGTACTCATCCGGCAGAAAGGTGAACATTTTATGCCCACAATCCAAAGACCAGTGAGTGTCATTTCATTGAAAGGTGCAAAGGCATGGTGTCAGACACACCATCGTCTAAATACTGTAAAAGCAACCTGGGGTGCATATCCCATGCATCTCTCCCCTTTGGGCTTGAGCATACTCCTTACGTCATAACTGTAAGGTGCCTGGACTGTGCCAGAGGCACAAAAGGCAGCTCAGCAATGTGAAGTTGACGATGTCAAGTCCTCTCAACTAATGTAGGGAATCATTCAAACTTAGTTCACTTGGTGAGCTCCTGCTCATGTTCGTCAGGCTTGCCATGAGGGATTTAACTTTATGGGCATAGTAGTCCCTTAAATTGATTGAAGGGACCTCCTTCATTCCATCCCCAAAGTCACAGCTGCGCATGGCACTCTCAAGTTGCTTCTGGCGCCTGTAAAAGTGGGAGAACTTATTGAAGATCAAGGTGATGGGCAGCACTACCACTAGGATACCTGCCAAGATGCAGGCAGAGGCGGTCAGCTTCCCTGCTGTGGTCCCCGGGACCACGTCCCCATATCCCACAGTGGTCATACTGACGGTGGCCCACCACCAGCAGGCGGGGATGGTGGCCAGGCCCTCATTCTCCTCTTTTTCAATGGTGTAGGCCACCACAGAGAAGATGGAAATCCCCACAGAGAGGTAAAGCAAGAGCAGCCCTACTTCTTTGTAGCTGTATTTCAAGGTGGCCCCCAGGGAACGGAGGCCAGTGGAGTGTCTGGCAAGCTTCAAGATACGGAAAATCCGCATCAGCCTCAGGACCTGGGCCACCCTGCCCAAGTTGGCCAAGGTAGGTGTGCTCTCCACCACCAGGTTCACCACCAGAGTGATGTAAAAGGGGACAATGGACATGAGGTCGATAAGGTTTAGAGCATTCTTAAAGAACTTGAGGAAGTCCGGGGCCACAGCAAATCTGGCCACCAGCTCAAATGTGAACCATGCAATGCCAAAGTGCTCCACGATTTCAAACCTGGGGTCCTCGCCAGGGTTGCCCTGGCTGTCAGGGATCTGGAAGTCCGGCAGGCTATTGAGGCACATGGTGATGATGGACCCCAACACCACCAGGATGGACAGAACGCTGAAGACCCTGCTCAGGACCGAGTAGCCGGGGTTGTCCAGCGCCAGCCACAGCTGTCTGCGAAAGTTGCCCAGGGGCTGCCCATCAAACTTGGAGGCGTCGTTGTAGAAGGCCAGGATTTCATCGAAGGAGGACGTGGTGCTCTCCTGGTCGCTCTGCTCGTCCCACTTCTCCTGCTCAGGCTCCACTTTGCGGCCATGGTAGCTGTAGCTGCAGCAGGAGTCGATAAAGAACTCGTTGATGCCCCAGTACTCGATTTCCTGGCTGAAGGAGAAGACGCACAGCTCGGCCATGACATGAAGCTTGCCAGTGTGGTAGAAATGCAACACGTAGGGGAAAAGCTCGGGGTTGCGGTCGAAGTAGAACTCACGCTGGACGTCGTCGTAGTCATCACAGAGCTCCAGAATGGCCTCGCGCGAATGGCAGAGCAGGAGGCGGCCCAGGCGCGTCTCTGGGAAGCGCAGCAGCGTATGCGAGCGCAGCCTTCTTTTGAAGCCGCCCACATTGATGCGGATCTCTACATCTTCGACGTTGGCCTCCGTCGCGTCCCACAGGCTCTGGCCGGTCATGCTGGAGACGCCCAGCCGCCCGTGCTGCGCGGGGGCGTTACACCTGGAAGCGGAGGAACCCGGTCGGCGTGAGCGCAGGGCGCCTAAAGCTGGGCGCCCCTTTCTTTCTCCCCAACCGTCTTTGGGGGCCCAGTCCTCTCCAGGAGGCTCTCTGGGTGCTGACGGACACCGGGTTGGGAGGGGGGTTCTGTGGGGCTTGGCCCCTCCAAAGGAAGGAGTGGAAAATGGGAGTATGTTTCCAATAGAAAGGCCGCGACCCGACCCCCACTCCGGGGGTCCTGGCAGTCGCTTTCGCGTGGCCGGGTCATGCCCCAGCGGCTCCAAGAGCCAAGGGGGCTGCGCGCTGACCTTCCCGTGGGCTGGCAGAGAAAACGCCCCCGCCCGCTCGCCGCAGACAGGCGCGACCCCAGCTGGGATGCGCACGGGCAGGGCTGGGCGGAGATAGGGGGCGCGTAGCTTTGGGAGGGGGGCAGGGAAATTCACCGCTCGGGTCTGTGAACCCGGGCGTGGGGGAAAAGGGTCCAGCTTGGCGTCCCCTGCGTCCATCCACCACGACTAGAGCCCCCTTGTCCCCCACCACCACCCGGGCCTCCCCGCCAGCCTGGAGCCGTGCCCCATAGCTGTGTGCGCCGCGCCTTACCCAGCGGAGCTTCCCGGGCTCACCCTGCGCGTTCTGGAAGCGCTTACCTGGGAGCGCGGGGGCCCGCGGCCAAGGCCGGCGGGAAACTTCCCCGACCTGCTAGCGAGCATCGCGGCAGCCGCCCTTGCCGGCTGGCTGTGCGTGTGTGCGCGGGTGCGAGTGTGTGTGTGCCTGGCGGGCCGGCGGGCGGGGTGCGCGGGGCGTCTCCTCCTGTCTCCGGCCGGTGATGCCGCCGCCGCCCGCAGTTGCAGGAGCCTCACAGGTGGCTGCGTGGCCCCGACGCTGGCAGAGCCCCCCTCTCCCGGCTCGCGCGCCCCTCAGGCCCCGAGAGGGCAGGAACCCGCGCCGCAGGCGCCTGCGGGAGCGGAGCCTGTGCGCCTTGGCGCGGGCCCTCTCTGGGGCTTGGCGCGGTGGTGCTGAACGGACAGCTCCGCGCGCGCCAGTCCCCGGCGCCGCCACCGCCCAAGACTCGGGAGATGCTGCCGCCGCCACCGCTGCCACGGCTTCTCTGCGCTCTGTAGCGCGTCACGGAGACCCCTTTGCGTCCCCGGCTCCGCGCGGGAACGACATCTTTCCCAACCCCCACTCTTCCCCCCGTGACAGCTGTTATTACTATCACCCCCGGGGCGCAGGCAGGGGGCTGCCAACGGTGACCTTTCCCCGCTGGGTCTCGGGCGGGAGCCTGGCTAGGGAAGAACGAGTGGCTTGCGCGGTCCCGGGGAAGGGCAAGACAAGAGGAACTCAGACTTTCCCATTTTAGGGACCTGATGAAAAGTTTCCTGAAGCCCAGGGGAGGGGTTATTGGGGAAGGGGGGCGGGACGGGAGTAGATGAGGCGGGGGAAGCCTGAGGTCGAGCTTAGCCTAGCTTGTGGGGGCGGTAGCGCCAGCCCCACTGGCGTGGGAGGGAGTCACGGAGTTCTCTTTGGGTGCTCTGTGTGGGCGCCGTGTGTATAGGCCAGTGTGATGTGCAGGCTGAGAGGGAGTGTATGGAGCTCTGTGTGTGTGTGTGTGTGTGTGTGTGTGTGTGTAGTTTAAGGACAGGAAGAATTTTCAGTGCCTGTGTACAAAGTTGATAAGGATGGTACGGCTGCAGTGTGGGGGATGTGTGCAGTGTGTCAGTACAGGGGGGCCGTGGGACATGTGTCTGTGTGCTGTGTGTATACAACGGGTCATTTTCAGCTGTGTGTATAGTGTGCTATACAGTGTAGTATTCAGTGGCACCATGAGAGGGTCAGTGTGAGTGTATATAGAATGAGAACGATGTGCATGTGGACACAGTGGGGTTTGCTGGGTGTAGGTGTAGCATAAGTGTCCTTAGTACCTGTGTCCTCATTCCCAAGGAGACTTGTGGCCCAGATCTGAGCTCTCAGTTTCCTAGGATTGTCCTCAAGGCCCTGCTGCAGGGCCATGATAAGAAATGGAGCCATGGTCCCTGGGGAGCACTCCCCCCCACTTTGGCCTCTCAGCCCCTTGGCAGGGAAGCACCATACCATTTGGAAAGCTTTCTGGAGCATCATAAGGTGTGTGAGCTTAGCAGGCACCTAGTGGGCTACATTCATGATCAGAAGTCCTGGGAAAATCCAGACTTGTAGGTTGCTTTGGACTCCCAGGCCAGCTGCCAAGGCCTCAGTGGGAAGCATATCCTTTCTCTGCAAGGCCATCCCAGCCAAGCAGGTGCTCTCTGTGGCTCTAGAGGGCTGTGAGCCCCCTTGAAGGGTTTGGGGAGGGTCCTTGTCTGGTTTCATGGGAGGGGTCCCAGATCAGGTCAGGCTTCCCTTAGAAAAGACCCATCCCTGTGGCAGCCTCTGCTTCTGGGTGTGTGTGTGAGAGTGCATGCAAGAGTGTTGCCTGCTGAGGGCCTCCACACTCATGGCTCTGACGACTTTTACAAGATACAAGGGGTTCCAGGGAGGAGAGAATAGGCTGAGAGCCACATGAGCTTCCTTTCTCTTGTGTTTTAGGGTGTGTGTGTGTGTGTGTGTGTGTATGTTTGTGTGTGTGTGTGTTTAAGAGAGATCGAGTCTTCTGGTATTTGTTGTCTCTATCTCATCTCCATTTCTTTTAGTATTTTGGCCAAGCATGCTCATTCCCTCTCGTCTAGGGCTACTAGATCTATCACGTGAAGTCTGTAGGCCCACCACACCTGGCTGGCTGCAGTCTGGAGGCCTCTGGTCTCCTGTATCCCCATGGGAGTGCTGCTGAGACAGTGCCAGCCCTTGCTGAGGGTGTGTGTGTGTGCGTGTAATTCCTGTGTTGCTGCCCTTTCACTCTTTTCCAGCCCCCTCTACATCCCTTGTGTGGGTGGCTGGGGTCTCCCTGCTGCAGGTGCCCTCAGCAGCAGCACCTGGGGGCAGGCTTCATGATCACTGTGGACTCTCTACCCCTCACCCCTGTCCTCTCACTGTGGGTGTGGCTGCCTGGCTTCTGGCCACTCTAAGGCTCCCAGTCTCCCTTCTACTTAGCTGCCACATGTCTGTGTGTTTTCTGCTGCATGCCCAACCTTCCCAGCCACTCCCTTCCATCAGCCTCAGCACCTGACTCTCCTCCTGGTGAAGCTTGATGAGTAAACCACCTTTTCCTGCTGCATTTGGAGGGTCTCTACATCACCCTAGTCCCTCCCCCCAGAAATGCTTGGATTTGAGGACTGGAGGATTTGCCTTCCTCCCTGCTGTGTTTATCTGCCTGCCTCCTCCTGTTCTCGTCTGTTTTTGTTCTTGCTCATTCCTTCATCTTTTGTGGTTGTGGAAGATTTTGCCCATGGAGACAGAGACCCCTCCGCCTTCTGTTTCTCTTTGTTTCTCCCCTGCCCACAGCCATATCACCCACAGACGGCCAGGACTCTGCTGGGTCCCCTGGGGCTCTCACCCCTCTCCATCGCTCTAATAGGGACCACTCCATGCCTTTCTCAGCTCTGCCCCCTACTCCTGCCACCCACTCTACCTCCTGCCCTTCCCCTCACCCTCCCCTTCTCCCTCTCTCCCTCTCCCTTGTCCTCTGCCCCTGCTGACAGAGCTGAGGCAACATGCCCAGGCCAGGCCAGGCTGAGGCCCAGTGTCTATAGCTGCCCTTTGTTAGCTTTCCCTGTGAGGCTGGTGCTGGGGACAAGCCCCCGTGCCTGCCTCTCCTTGAACAGAAAAGTGAACTTGGAGCCCGCAGGGAGAAGCCTAGGTTTAGGGCTCATCAGTTATTTCTTGGAAAGGCTGAGACAGAAGCTCTGTAGGTCTGACAGATGCCGTTGCAGAGGGTTAAGTATATGTGACAGGCAGAGCCACTTGTTTATTTCCTAGTGACTGCGCTGAAAAGAAATGAAACCGTTTCCCTCCTTCTGTACCCGGGAAGCTGGCTTTGTTTATGGTCTATTTAGAGGTCTGAGCCCTGATCTTAAAATACAGCCACCTGCTCCAGGTGGCCTGTGGTGGCCTGCCCCTGGGCTAGGAGAGCCGGCTGGTGAGACTCTGTGGGGGTGGAGGGCGGGGGAAAGGCATCCTGGGAAGGTGGACGCAGGGACCCCGCACCTGGGCGACTATTATCTCTGCCTCCTCTGCCAAAGCTGATCTCTTGGCTGAGCCCACACATCTCAGGCTCGGCTTTTTTTCCCTGACAGGAGAGGGGGCTGCATCTGCGGCTTGGCTGAGGGAGCCGGGCTGCCTGACCTACATCTCCCACTGTGGAAAAGAGCTGAGTCCCTGGCCTTCTCTGGGGTTGTGGGCACAGGGGTGCCCACCACAGAGATGGAGTGGGCTACTTATCCTATATGCACTCTGCCTCCTTACCATCCACGCTCCCATCACAGCCAGAATGTCTTTTAAAGACACAAATTAGGTCATGTCAAACCCTTCAATGGCTTCCCATTGCACTACGAATGAAACCCAATTCCTTACACCACTTTTGAGACCCTCCATGATGGGCTTCTGCCCACCTTGCAGACTTCACCCTGCTCCTATTTTCCCTCCAGTGATTATGCTCCAGCCACATGCCAGCTTTGCTCTCTGTGCAGGGCCTTTGCACTTACTGTTCTCTCTGCCTCTCTCATGGCAGCTTCATGTGGCAGGCTCCATCTTGTCACTCAGATCTCAATTTAAAGGTCACCTTCTCAGAGAGGCCTGATGGCCCAATCTCAACCAGATTCTTAGTCAGTTTCAATCATTTTCTTCCCAGAACTTATATTAAATGGTTATTGAATACGTGATTGCATGATGAATGAATGAATGAGGCTCCAATTGCTATCTTAAGTTAGTTTGTGCCAGCCATGGCCTTGGTCCCCTCTTCCTCCTCCTGGTGGACCAAGGAGGGAGTTGGAGGGGGGTGGGGTTACTGTGCCTGGGACTGTGGCTTGGAACCACCAGGTTCTGGGTTGCTCTTCTGAGCAATTGATTAGTCTAGTGAAGCTCATCCCTGGCTGCACATGAGAATCTCCTGGGGAAGCTTTTCAACATGCCAGTGCGCCTAGATGCCTTGGGCCTTGTCCCAGACCAATTAATTCAGAATGTCTGGGGTAGGGCTGGGCGTCGGTGTTGTGCTAAAGCTGCCTAAGTGATTCCAACCTGGAGCCAAGGAGGAGAGCTTGAGCAGCCTGTCTTTGGGGGTGTGAATTGAGAGCTCTGTGCTCCAGAGTCTGCAGCCCAGAGGTCAACACCAAGGGCAGGAGCTACGTCTTACTCAGCTTGGCAAACACCCACGCCTGCTGCAACTCTTGGTGCGGTACCTGCCCACAGTAAACCATTAACCAGTTGCCCTCAAGTCGACTCTGACCCCACGTGTGTCAGAGTAGAACAGTGCTCCATAGGGTTTTCAGTGACTGGTTTTTCAGAAGTAGATTGCAAAGCCTTTCTTCCAAGGCAACTCTGGGGGCACTCGAATCTCCAGCCTTTCAGGTAGCAGCCGAGCACTTTAACTGTTTGTGTCACCCAGGGTCTCCTAACCCATCGTGGAGAGTCTTGGAAGCTGTGTAAGGAACTGAGTTTCATACGTAGTGCAGTTGAGTGCCATTGAGTCAATTCTGACTCATAGGAGTCCCATAACAGCTTAGTGCCTTTGTCATTGCCTCTCTTCAATCTCAGACCCCCCCAAAGGGTCCCCTGTGCCTGTTCCTCTCAGAATTGTTTATCTTTGAGACATTTGGGATTAGGAGTAGTCACAGTTTCTCCCCCTTCTTGGGCTCTTACGACAGACGCAATGTGAGTGAGGACAAGGGAGGTAGCAGGACTGGCTGGGTGAATTTACAGTAGGTAGGGCACAGAGCAGGTGCTAGGGGATGGAGGCAGGCCCACAAGAGATGAGGGAAGCATATGAGGGAGACCACTGAGCCTGAGAAGCTGGTCTGAGCTTTG